TATATATGATTTAGCTGATTAAAATATTTTGTGAAAGCAGAAAGAGCATTAACAGGTTATTGTGTATATTAATTTGTACAATATTCCTTTCATTAGCAAGCCATTGGGGAAAATCAGCTATTTACATCAACTAATAACCTAATATTAATGTTATTGTACAATTAATATTGTTGTTATAAGATATTTGAAATGCTATTTTTATTCTATTACAGATTTAGAGTTTTTAGGCTAAATGAGAAGGTCTTTGGTAAATATTGGATGTATTTAGAATGTTATGTATTTCAATTATATTGTAAACAGTGTTTAAAATGTTAATATTGATGATTTGATTACTGTAATAATTATTATTTGTTTTGTTATTCAGACTTATTATCACTGCATTTTATTTGATATTAATTATGGGAAACAAAAAAGCACTTGTGAGGTATGTTTTATTTTTTAAGTGCCATGCGACTACACTTCCTTTTTTTCTCACCTGTTGGTTTCTGAACCTGTCTTACGTCATTCTGTACATATTTGCCTTTCTTTATACGAAAAAAAATCATTTAGGTTAAATATGAATGTCGTGTGCTACTTTCCTTGTTTTCTTTTTGTTACTATGATTGTTAAATATACTCCTGTAATAAAATATAAAGTGAAAAAGATATCTGAAAAGTGAATTTTTTGACCACTCTTTCTTTTGACTAGCAAAGAGAAACTGCAGTTTTTATTGGACAGCACTGTGTTACCTTCACAACAAGACGGTCCTGGTTTTTAATCCTGGCTGGGGTCTCCTTCACTGGTCCTTTTCCCTCATAGTCCAGACATGCATGTTAGCTTAATGGGTGTGACTGTGCAAATAAATGGTTGGCTGGGTCTCTGTGTTAGGCCCATGCTAACCTGACAACCTCATCAAGGTGTAGGGTTGGGCAGTAATTTAAATGAATGAGAACTGACATTTTGCTTTTAAATTCTCTCAATACAACCTACAGTATGTACTCTCCCAGTAAATTTTGATATTTTAAAGCTAAAATACAATCATTGTCCCTGATTCCTTTTTTCAAGTAATGAGTAATGTAACGGATTACTAATGCAAAAAAGCAATTAGATTACTGCTACTTTCCCGTAAGCATGCTGCGTTACTGTGTTACTAAACCGTAATTTTGTTTGTGAAGTGTCTCACGACAATGATGTAAGCGCGTGCAACGTCTGTGGCAGCAACAGACGTGTAGATCAACAATGGAGAGAGTACAACCATGTAGCGCTAAAAGCGTGGAAGTGCTTACTCTACTTCAAGTTTTATTCTGTAAAAAGTGACAGAAACATTAGCGTCCGCTGTACACTCTACGTGGGAAGAAAAGTTAAACTTCAAATCTGAGCAAGCACCGAGCAAGCCGCCACGGGAATGTGAAATTGACAGAGAAACCCCCGGATCCCTCCACTGACATGACTGCTGCGGCACTGGGCAAACCTCCACCTGCCCCACTCCTGCTAAACAGGTGAAAACAGATTTAAGAGAGTCAGGACTTAGTGTAGCTAAATCTTGGATTTTGTTTATTTTTTGCTGTTTTACTTGCATCTATTTGAAAGAGTGAGTGAAACACAAAAAAATATTTCATTTTACATGCTGGAATATGCAGAAAATGGGTTTAAATATTAAAAAAGTGTATTCAAATGAAAGACTGTTGCTTATAATAAAATTTTTTGCTTGATGTGCATAAATTTAAAAGATTAAAACTAATAAAACAATTTTACAAAGAGACTTTTCCATTTGATTCAGTTTTATATGATAGATTATGCATAAAAAATAGAATTGGGCTGAAAGGTCTATTGCTTTATTAAGTTTTCAGGTTGTGTATCATGTTTTTAAAAAGTAACTAAGTAATAAGTAATTAATTACTTTTGAAAATAAGTACTCAGTAATGTAACGGGGTTACTTTTTTGGAGAAGTAATCAGTAATAAGTAACTAATGACTTTTTTCAAATAACTTGAACAACACTGGTCCCTATCCATTAATTTTCAGATTTATAAGTAAATAATTACAGTTATTTATTTGCATTCCTGAAGAGAAAAAAAACATTTAATGGTTGAACATTGTACTTTATTACTTTCCGAGTTTTCAGTCCACTGTACTGGCTCAAGTTTAGGTATAAAAACTTTGCAAAATTTAGAATTTTTAGTCTTATAAATTTGTTATGCGTGTGTGTGGTAGCGCTTGCAGAGCAAACAAGGTAAAATCTTCAGTTATTTGCTATTGTGATTAGAGGTCATATCGCCCAACCCTCCATGATAGCTGGGATAACCCTAACCTCTTAGCCAGAATACTAAAGTACATAAATCCTAACTAAAAAAGCTGTGTGGAAAAGAAAAAACCTAGACTTGGTTACATCTGTGAACCAGCTTTTTGACCGATTCAAAGATCAACCATTAACAACTTCTACCCTACACTCAGCTTTGCCATGCAGCATTGCTGTGTATTGTATTCAGATGAAGTTAAATCTTTATATAAGGTGTTAATGTAGTGACAATCTAGATAACCAAATTACATCCAGACTCTGAAGAGCATGCATGAGAACTTTGTTAGTTTTTTGGAAGCCACATGAAACCGGCACACAAACAAAAACAAATGTATGTGCAAAAGTGCAGCCAGCAAGCAAGTCAGACAGATGGTAGGCCGCCTGTATTGTGCATGCTAACAAGCTTGAAGTACTGAAAGCATGAACTTGTAAATCAGAAAGGTTGGAAATCTTGCAGAAGGGTAACAAGCAGGACCAGGTGCTCTCTGTCAGTTTAAGTTAACTATTTATAGTAGTGGTTTCTGTGATGAATCCCAGCTCCATGAATGACATATTCACCCATCTGCTCAAGTGGCTTCTGTCCACTAAAAAAGAAACCCGTGAGTGTTTCCACTTTGAAAGCACAAAAGAAGTCTATGTAAAAAGGTTGTAGGAGTGGCAGTGTCACACGTCAGTACAGCAAGTTCACCCATGACACTGGAGTTCAACCCTCATGTAATCATAGTTTCATATTATATTTTGAGTTAAGTTTTGTTTTTACGCTCACAATCCCATCAGTGACACTTTTTTGAAAATATGCCCACCTGCTGGGATGGCTTCTGTCATTTAAATAAAACCAGTCATTGTTTCCCCTTTGAAAGAACAACAATAGTTCACATCAGGACGTTATGGGACTGTTATACATGACTATGGGAGTGTTATACATCAATACAACAGTTTCACTCAGCAGAGTTAAACTCCCATGTTATCTTAGTTTCATATTATGTTTTGACCTTTGTTTTTACATGCCATTTACTTTCATTTTAATAGACCATTTCATTTTCACTTCGTCAATACACCCTCATTACAATGTTAAACACGTTTTAGAAAGCTCAGTTTTTTAGGTTAGAAGGTTTAAGATTTTAAAAGCAATTATTTACAAGGCCTCAAGAAGTCACCCGATCCCTCTGGGTTTTCTCTAGTAATTTCTTAGTGAGCGTAACAGCTGACCTGATCTAATTCTATTGGTTTTTTTGTGGAGGTATAAAAAAATGGTATTGTCCTACATGGGAAAATTATTTTTGGCAAGCAGTGCTAAACCTTGCACCATTCGCATAAGAAACTCAATTGTTGATTGATTTGGGGGATTGAGTTCATTTTAGTTGATTAATTAATACACATTTGTTTCCCATAATCTAACTCCAGCTAACATTCAAGTGTGTAAAAGTGAATGGTAATCTTTTCAAGGCATTAGAGACACCTGAATTTATTCCTCTGAGGTCTAAAGCATCACCATTCCTTAGACATCAGCACGGCAACCTAATTTTAACCATTCAGCATATTTCTGTTAATTTTAGGATGTCTAATACACCCTTATCAATGCTGATACAGAGCTGGGAAACAATATTTGCCCCTTTTTAGCATATTTGTTACACTTTGTTACTTATTTGAGTTCATCAAACAGATTTGAAAACTGATTTAAATTGAGAAAGAATGAAATGGAGGGAGGTGGAAAGGTATAGGTGCAAGGAGTAGCAGGAGTGAAAGATGAGTTTTAATACCTAGGGCCAACCATTCAAAGTAATGAAGAGAGACAGGAGGCTGAGCTGAAGGTAGCAGGTTTGAAGATTTTCATTGGGAGTGTCCACGATGGACAGGAATACATCAGAGGTTGAGCAGCTCGAAGACAAAGAGGGATGGCTGGGATGGTTTGGACATATCTAGAGCATGGATGTAGTGAAGGAAGTCATGCAAAAGGGTTGCTGTGACAAAGTTAGATGCTAGAGCCGGAGAAAGACAGAAGCAGATGATCCGCTGTGGCAAACAGAAAGAAGAAGGCAGCATAAGTGATAGTGATTAGAAAGAGGGGATTAGCCTTTCCATCAGGAACCTTTTTGGTGTTCACATATGTCAGATCTAAATAAAAATCAAATTTGGGTGTAGTGTGGGACCGCAGTGTTATTTAGAGGAAAGATTCATTTGATTTTAGTTAAGTAAGCATTGTGAAAGCAGCAATGAGCAGCTTAATGGGTGAAACGCGATACTGTTGGTAACAAATCGTCAACAAGCTGGATGCTTTCATAAATAAATGACGCCCAACATTAAAAAGACCGCAGACTTGATTAAACCCTACTCGAACGTTCCCTTAAGCAGCCTCGCTTTCTTGATGCAGAGATGAATGGTGGCTCTTTCCTTGAACATTGTTCTTGGAACTGTTACTGGTACTAGAAAACAGAGTCAGATCTCCCGCGTACGTGTAAACATGCTCCATGAAAAGCTGACTCTCATTTGAAAAGCCACAGGGAAGCAATGCTTAGCTGCACACTAGATTAAATAGTAAAGCTTTTTGTAATCTCTTGTGTGTCTTCTGTTGTGAATATTCAACTTCAGTATTGGACTCTTCAAAGAGAGCCTAACAGTGG